GATGAAGGGTCTAGGCCCGAAACGTCAGCCTCTCTGCTCCTATGATGCTGCTTGGCCTGCTGTGTTCATCCAGCCCTGCACCTTGTTGTCTCGGATTCTCCAGCATCTGCAGTTCCTACGATCTCTTGTATTTGTCTTGCATTGTCAAGAATTAATCTCTATGCTTGTAATGGAGCTAGGGAGTCTGGAGAAAGGATTGTAAGCTCCATTAGAGAAATAGCTTAATTGTATGAGTTGCAGAATCAAAGCGCTATGTTGTAGGTAAATAATTGGTTTTTATTTCTGGTTGAATCATCACAAAGAATGTCACTATCACAGAGATAGTGATTTAGGCTGGAACTTTGGTTAGAAGGTTATTTTATTTAATACTATCCATTTGTATTTGCTAATAAAAGCAGGCAGTTCAGTTTGTGAATAAAGAGAAAGGGACCTGCAACTGTGCTTTGGTGAAGACTACATTTCATTAGATTTTGCAAGGCAACATGATATCACAGGTAATTAGATCTGCAATATAAGCAAAAGAAAACTTCATTATTAACTGTGTGAAATACAGATGGAGCTCTGTCTTAGTTTTGATTTTGTGAGGGAAAAGAAGATTTGCAGCTTGTGAAAGCAATCTACAGTCATCTTCTCAGAGCCATGTGGTAATAAGTAGTCGGCATAGTTACCTTGGGAAGCTAGGCCACTGCGGTCTGGTATCTGCCAGAAATCCAAACAAGTTATTGAGGCATCTACATTCATGAGGTATAGAAAGAAAAGGTAGAGGATTTTGTGGCAAAACCCTAATAGACAGATTTGCATAGAATATTATCTCTTAGAAGGAGTTGGAAGGAAAACATAAGGAAAAATGAAGTCAATTCCAGAGTGCTGTGACATACATTTTGGGTTGGTACAACAAAATGTGAATGTTCATGATTTTTTAGGATAAAGAAATTCTTGTGAAGAAGTGAAAAATAAAATTGAGTTCATAGTTCACAGTCTTTATAAGCTATAGCATTAAGTTAACAGTGCTTACTTTGTTTCTTTCTTCCGCATGACTATAGTCTTTTTTAAAAGTGAAATCCTACGATGGTTCTCATGGTTAATTGCATAATAGTCAGATTTCTTCATTAAGCATTGACAGATCGTAATAGGATCGTAACAGTTTCTCGATCCCTAGATCATGCTGAATTGACAGATAACAGCTGGATCTTAAGTGTGGAATTGTAATTAGCTTTATTGCCCCACTTCAGTCTGGAGTCAGTTCCTGATTGATGTTAATTGCCCCATGCTACAAGAGTTGTTGCATTAAGTGTTCTCATGGGATGAGAGAGGGATGAAATGTGAGTCAAAGGCTTTGGAGAGCTTTATATCAATAATACTGGTACAGCTTTAAATAATTGTACATAATATCAAAATTTCTGAAGAAAGATATTATGGCTTTACAAAATCTTTAAATGGTAACATTCTGTGTTCTTTGCATAAGTATATCCAAGTCCATCTGTCTAGCAACATCTATAAATGACACTCCTTGTAAATAATATTCTAATGTTAGATCAGTCAGGAATGGCAACCCCACCAGCACGTCTGAAGGCCATTGAGGAAAGGTTGGACAGGTAGTAGCAGAGAGTGAGAAGGCGTGTACTGGAAAGTAGCCCTTTCTGTTGCTTTGTTCTTCACTACACTTAAAGACACCCTCCTTGGTTACCTGCCAATCTGTGTGTCTAATTGATCTCTGGACCTTTGGCTTGCTTTAACCTGCTGCTACAATGAGGAATGAAGTCAGTATGAAGCTTGGCAGTTGCCTCCATGGTTAAATAACATGTCAACGCTTGTTGTCCAGAGTTAAACTTGAAAAATGAACATTGGGTGAGCTGCCAAAGACTTAGTGACTTTTGTTGAACTCCATGTCAATTACAGTTGTGTTGGAGGTGAAAAAGGCAAAAAATTGGATTAAAAAGACAAATAAGAGTCAACATTTTAGCTGAGGAACTAGAGCTGTTTCTGTCGAAAATTTGATTTTTAGCTTTATTATTCTGCTTAGTGACTAACTGTTAGGTTCTGCTTTCTTTGCAGCTAGAGAGACTTCAGGCCGAGAACACTGCTGAGTGGGGGAAACGAGAACGATTAGAAACAGAGAAACTGAGCCTGGAGAGGGACAACAAAAAGTTAAAAGTCCAGATTGAAGATCTGGAGAAACTGCTGGCAAAGAGAAGTCAGCATAACACAAACATCATTGATTCAGATTTCAAAGCAATGCAGTGTGAACTGTTTGAGAAAAATAAGGTAAGAATGGATTAGTTCTTGTGCCGTGTCAACTTCAGATGATAAGATTAAAATGGCAGAGTTTGTAATATATAGTTGAGCAACTGGAGGGGACAAGCTATATTCAACAAGCATGCCTGGAAATGAAATTAAACGAAAATAAACACACAGAATCGTGGATGCTGGAAATCTGGAACAAAAGCAGAGAGTGCTGGACAAAGTCAACAATCCTGGCAGCATCTGTAAAAAGAGAACAGAGTTAATGTTTTGAGTCCAGTAACCCTTTATTAGAACTGAAGATAGCTGGGGAAGGCTGGAATTTATGCTGATGATGGGAAATTATCCTGGTTTACTAAAATCCTAATTATGAGAGGCAATATAGATGAGCTTAGAGTGTCCATACTGCCCTTGCCCTCTAGAAGCTTATGTTCCTTTCTGGAAATCTAAAATTCTCTGTTGTGGAAGAGCTGCAACACAAGGAGTCAAACAAAGAACAAAAGACCAAATCCAGAAGGAAGCTAATGGCTAAATAAGTAACATCTATATTTACAGCAGTCTGTGCATCTGGTGGAAACATGTTGTACCACCTGCTGAACAACTTCACTGCTGAGGCCATTTCTCAGAGGACCAGTTGTAATGCTTGCTGCAAGTGCATTTTAAGGTGATCATGTGCAGCTTTCACCAGGGAGAGGCTCATTGTTGATTTACGGTTCCCATCACTTTGCTTCCAACATCTAATATAGTCACGGAACTTGTTAAATGACTTGCTTCTTTCAAAAGTCAACGCCCTCTCCTATCCATGTACAATCGGTGCAGTGTTGCCTTGTTTGTCAGCATATTCAGTAATTATTGATTATCTTATGACAATATGTTCAACAAATTCATTAGAAGTTTTTGAGGATCTAACTAATGGCTTAGATAAAAGGGAGCCAGTTGACATAGAATCTGATAAGGTACCACACAAAGGATTAATTCTCAAGATGAGGGTTTCAGAGACATGTAGACGGGTTACGTGAGTGAGGGATGGTTTAGGGAAATGAGAGTGAGTGAGGGAAGATGCTGCAGGCAATAGAAAGAACATGACCCTTGGTGGGAAGTGGGTGCGGTAGTACAGAGAAGGGTGTAGCACTTACCCTGAGAATTGGAGAGGATTGGCTATTCCTGTGGACTGTGGAGACCTACTGACCGGTTGGTGACCTCAGATCAGGGTATTGGCCTCCTTTGCTACTCCTCTGGGAAGAGAAATCCTTGCCTCTGCATCATCCTGTCTACCGGGACCTCCAGCTCCCTATCGGAGAATCCCAACACTATGGTCCTCTTCTCCATCATTTTCAGAATGACTGTCCATTGCCAAGAAGGCGGCATTGGATTGACAGTGTGCATCTGAAACCTTATAAATATGGTGCAGGAAAACAGGGAAACTTGTCTTCTGGCGAGTGGGGAGTCATGCCACGTAAAATGGAACTAGAAATGGGTGAGAGGATCATCGGAAAGGTGGGAGGATAGATAGAGAGTTAACGTGGTAAGTTTGGGAAGACATAGCAAGAGAACTCACTTGGTTTTATGGTGGGAAACCCTCTAACAAACTCTACAAAAGTGACACTTAGCCAAAAGGAGGTAAGGTTCAGCCCATGGATTTTGATACCAAGTATAATTGTTCAATTTCTTCCCCTGACTTTGAATTAGCAGGCCAGAGTGGCTTGAAGTTGTGATAGAATAATTTGAAACAGCGCAAGTTTGCTATCTTTGAAAGTCAGTTCTTTACAGTTTACTACTCTGTGTTTTTGATGACATCTCCACATAAAATCTTGCTGGTTAAATGCTGATTGTTCCATGACCTTTTCCTCAGATGTGTGAAAAATAGTAGATGATCGGTAGTAACTGCATAGAAAATTGCCTACTAATAACCCTGCCTAACATTGCAGCTGATTCTAGAACATTGTGTTATGGGTTACATTAATTACTCGCTGATCAATACAAGTGGAATGAATTATTTGCATGAATGCACCACAAAATATTTTCCCTTTCAGATTTGAGGGAAAACTGCCAGCGTTTGCATTGAAGTATAAACCAACAACTATTAAGACATTCAGTCGGTTACTTCATTTTTTTCATTTTAAATCAATATAATCACCCTGCAGGCAATAAAATGAGTTATTGTTCCATATACTTTAGGGTTCATGTTATTTTCCACACCTCTCCCTTCATGGGACTGAAAGAGTTGGATGAGGGATTGGAGTCATCAATCGTTTAACTACAGTGGAATTATTCCTATTAAAGTTGATTTGGTATTAATTGTTTTCTTATTTTTGCTCTTCCCAAGAGGCACAATCCACCTCTGGTCAAAAATCTTTCCTTGGGTCCTGGCAATGTCATCTGATGGTTGACCGGTAATATGTATTGTACATGCTTACCTGGAAACTAGAGAATACTGATTTCTTCAAAATCTGACAGCTTTAAAATAGCTGACATCTCCTGGCCCACACCCCCCAGCTCCTTATATAAGTATTTGACACTTGACAACAAGCAATTACATAGGTTTTGTAACCTGACGCTACAGTTAGAGTTAAAGTTCTTTCATTTTATTTAACGTGAATGAGAACCTGACTTTGTTCTCCTGACAAAGGTCAGACACACATTAGGTGAGGAAATGAAGGTAGGGAAGTTCTTCATCTCTCAGCTCAAGCTACTTACCCCTTTCTCTATTTTCTTTATTTTCTTCTTCCCACGCCGTCTTCATTCTCACGTACCAACCTTTCCCTCCATTACTGCTTTTTCTCTCTCCTTCATTTCGTTACACTTTCAGAGTCAATCGTTGCAAAGTTCTGGAAGGGTTCATATTGGTTGAGTGCCATAAACATCACCAACTGTGACAATGCCATGAGCACTGGAAGGGAGGGTAACTCAGGATCTTGAGGAAGTTAGACCTAAGACAATGTCCTTTTACAGTCTCTGTCATAATGTATACTACATTCTTGTCACATTAATAGTTGCAATTCAACTCTTCGAGTGGGCACTTAACAATGATCTGTATGCAGTTGTCTATGATTTTGCCCAGAGTTTGGGATTTAATGAACAGCTTCATAAGAATATAAAAACATAAGAAATGGGAGCAGGAGTAGGCCAAGTGGCATGTCGAGCCTCCTTCACCATTCAATAAGATCATGGCTGATCTTTTCATGGCCTCAGCTTCACTTACCCACTCTCTCACCATAACCCTTAATTCCTTTACTGTTCAAAAATCTATCTTCTCCTTAAAAACATTCAACGAGGAAGCCTCAACTGTTTCACTGGGCAAGGAATTCCACGGATTTACAGCTCTTTGGGTGAAGAAGTTCCTCCTCAACTCAGTTTTAAATGTGCTCCCCAAATCTGAGACCAAAGCTGTACACAGTACTCCAGGTTTGGCCTCACCAGCACCCTATACAACTACAGCATAACCTCCCTATTTTTAAACTTCATCCCTTACTGAATCAGGTCCTCAGATCTCCAATCAGATAAATCTTCTGGTGCCAAGGCAAATCCTTGGTGCCATTTATGGAAATTATTTACTGTCCATGGTTCTACTGGTATCTTCTTCCTTAGGAGCAGGTTTTTCCAGCACTTGCCAGGAAGTGGTAGCCTCCAGGAAATATCCATAAATGCTCACCATGATGCATGCAGCCCTTGTAGTGGCCAAAATCCCAAAATCTCAACATGAATCTTCAGAGAGAGACTATGATTCTCTTTTTCTATGGTGCACTTTTAAGGTCCTCATCACTTAATTTGGAGTAGAAATTTCCTGTTCAAAATCCTAGCTCAAATATTTTCTCCTCTTTCAGCTGGTTGTAAGAAGCCTTGCGAAATAAGCAACACTCCTGGTGATCATCGACTCAAAATTGAAGCAAGTAAATCCCAAAGAAATCTTGCTTTTACATGAACAAACAAAAGATTCCTACAATGGATAAACAAGTGCACAATTCAAATCTACACATAATTCAGTGTCCTTTGAAAAACTCACAAAAATATAGCACTCTAAGTCTGGTTCCCTATTGGACATCTATGTTTGGGCTATGATTTGTCAGTGATTACAAACGTTCAGCTCTTTGGTGATTATTGAATCAAAGTTGAAGCAGGTAAATCCCAAAGAAAGCTTGCTCTTACCTGGGCAAACATTTGGTTCCTACACTGGCTGTATTTGCCCAGTGAGGGATTAATATTGCTCTGTTTATCAGGCTGCAGAGGAAAATTCATTTCACACTTCTTAATACAATAGAAATATCAAAGAATTTGAGAAAGGTTTACTATTCGTGCCAGTTTATCCTCTGCAAACATAAACAAGATATAAAACTCACCATTTTCAAGATATGTCAACAGCAGCACCATGAGAATTGAATTTTTTTTTTGATTCTGGTGTAGCTTATGAATATCTGTTCCCCTTCATCTGCTGCTCTTGTCCGTTTAGGTGGTACAGGTCGCAAGTCAATGGAGCCTTGGTAAATAGTATACAACACTTTAATATTGATCTAAAGAGTAATTCAAACAGAAATACTTATTTGTTGAGTGACCTGGTGTATGTATATATTTCCATTGCACGTTAGTCTTGTAGACAGTAAAGCAAATAAATAAACAAACATGCATCTTGTTACTGATCAAATTTAATTAGCTATAACTATGACCTTTTCTACTTTAAATGATGGATGCATCTGCTGTCAGTTCTTCCTTAGCTCAAATCAGTTGATAGGATTGACAACTCAATGATATTTTTCTGGAAATGCTTTTGAAAATATCATCTTCTTTACATCAAAGCATTATTACTGCAAGGATAATTGCTTATAACATAAAACACTTAGCTCTTGTGTCTGCATTTTGAAAAGAGAGAGAAGGAAGATTTCCCATCTGTCACCATAGTAGATGATCTGACTTTATACTGCACCTGTGACTTCCCTGAGGTGCACTGCTCAGATTAGCAAGATGGAATTCACTGTGGCATCGTGTTTGGTGCCGTGAGGAATTATGGTAAAGAGGTGACATAAATTTTA